TATTCATTCATTAACTAGCCTGGCCGCGTTTTGTTCAACTTGGGGCATGGTGGTGGATAAAACAAAATACGCGGCCTAGCAAACTTGATTCCAACCGTGGTAGGCAAAGTGCGATGTCTTGAACAGGTGGGAATCTATAAGTACAAATATCAGTGTCAAAAGCCGTCCACGTGTCCTATGCAACAATACGTAACATAACCAAGTTGGATATCCAATTGGAAAAGTGGCTATTTGCAACATATATCGGCTATGAATTATTGTGCGACTGGACTGTTGAAATTGGCAAGGGGAATTGTTGTTCTCATACACTAGATGATTAGTGGAAAGCGAGCAGGGAGTAATGGTGTGCTTTTGACACGACAGCTTTACGACGAAGCCTATTACAACGGAAACTACAGCACAGGGCTGTCGTCAACATGCGTGCCGTCAGATAGAGCATGACAAGATGTTGCGACATGGACTGTAACAACGTGACGATGCTCCAAAATCATTTTAATATAACGTATTTTGACAAGGTCAGGTGGTTAGGGCGCTCAACTCGTAATCTGAGGGTCGCGGGTTCGAATCCCGTCCCCCCAAACATGCTCGCCCTTCCAGCCGTGGGGGCATTATAATGTGACGGTAAATCCCACTATTCGTTAGTAAAAGAGTAGCCCAAGAGTTGGCGGTGGGTGGTGATGACTAGCTGCCTTCCCTCTAGTCTTACACTGCTAAATTAAGGACGGCTAGCACAGATAGCCCTCGTGTAGCTTTGCGCGAAATTCAAAACAAACAAACAATCAGTCAATATGTCACTCTTTAGGCCTCATGTGGTTAGACCCCAGGTAGAATTTGTGTCCAGTTTTGGTAACCTTATTTAGGAAAGGATGTTAAATCGTTGAAGATCATAGATACTAGGATGATTCCAAGTTTGGAGGAGGTTATTGTTTTTAAAAAAGCCTTTTACTAGCAATTGCTAGAGGGTTAATATTTTTGCCCACTTGATAAAAACACTTGCATGTTTCGGGCTTGATTCCGAGCCGAGTAAATTACCAAAGAAAAAAGTACAATTTAAAGTACCACATGGGTATAGTTTGAAACCTCTTAACGCTGAAGAAGAAAATAGTCCTGTGGATATGATTGAGATTGTTGAGGGTTTTGAATCCAAAAATGCAAAGGAACCGTAAAAAATAAAGACAATGAGACTAGATAACATAAGTTTAAGATAAGGAAAATAAAAGCTACAGAGTAGTGTTACTTTTGTAATAATTTGTTGGTCTATGAGATAATTTGTCTTTGGGTGTGATAGAAGCTGTAACATCGAGAAAGTTTAAGAGAACGTTGGAATAGTATCTTGGAGATCAGGGCAGGAGCAGCGCCAGCCTCTTTCCGGTTAGGGGGCTGAAGTAATATAGACAAAAAAAAATTAAGAGGCTGGAGTTTACATCTTGTGTGCAGATATGCTGTAATACTTCGGTAGTGTGTAATATTTAAGAGTAGGCATTGTTTGTTAGGTGCAGGGAAGGCTAAAGCACATTTGGGGATAGCTCCAGCAAGCCTCCCCTTACCCAGTGTCGTAGCCAGGACGCACACATTGAGGGCGCAATGACAAACTCAAAGGGCGCGAGTACATTGTAATCATTTTCAGTTTGCGTTATAAATTTATCATTTATTGATGTTCCTTATTAATTCATAAGCGAATTCACTCATGAAAAAATCTTTGATATCCGACAACAAGAGCTTAAGTTAGATACGAACTGGTAGGTTTATCAAAACAGAAAGCACGAGTCAGTCTCAGGGAAAGTTGATTGGACTCTTTTATTTAATTAAAGAAATGTAAGCCAAGTCCAAATTTGGTTATTAAAACAACTGTAATAGTCTATTCTGAATAGAATTGAAGTCTCTCAATATATTATGCTTCCCATCAACACTCTGACATATATCATCAAGGATGCACTTCTCAAACCCGATGAGGATCAAGTTCGCCAGTCTTTCATGAGGAATCGGCTGACGGAGGTCTGTAAGCACATTTGTCAGAACAGAAAAACTATTTCACGTGTTGCAGTTGGGGATCCAATTCCTAATGCTGCCTCATACAGTTCTGTATTGGCTGGAAAGCCCTTCGATTTCAAATGGAAAAGCTGTTGCAAAATAGACACCAGGTTATATTTGTTGTTTTTTCTCCAATGGTCACTGATGTATTTTTTGGCAACATCAATTTGAGCCAAAACAAAGCTGCCCATTTCAAGGCCGATCAAATCTGCGAGAAATCCCATTCGTTCTTTGTCAAAGAAATGTTCTGATTCGGGATCTAGTGACTCCTTGGCACGAATAAGATGCGAATTTTTCTCCAAGAAACGTTCATCAAGCTCAACCAAGATACTGTCAAATAGACAGAACCACGATCGTTTGAGGTTATCATTTTCTGACAAATTGGTGTTATCTCTGTGCAGATAGTCAGTTTTCACGACGTCTTCTCTTTTCTGCAGGCTGATGGTCTTATACTGTTACACTGTTATCATCACCTGCAGTATTTTGCAGAATCAGCTTAACTTCATCCAGTAAAGTGGTAAACGTTTCATCGGTTCTTAACAAAGTAATAGATGCTCGTGAAGATTATATCAGCATCAAGGCCTGCATCAGATTGATACTGACTGATTGTAGATTAATGTTGGCAGGTGCTAGTATACTCAATGCTTTGTGGACAGCT